CGCCAGATGTGACCCTCAAATACATTTCAAAAACCCTCTTCAAAAATAAAACAAAATAAAATCCATGAACAATATTGTTTCAAGCTAAAATCCACAGAGCCTGAACAGTTGAGGGTACTAGGCCATTCACGGGGTGGCAGCCCCACCTCCACCTAGTTCCAGAACATTCCTGGCAGGAAGCAAAGGCCTGTCTCCTGCCGTTTCCCCGCCCCCAGCTCCTGGCCGCTGCCCTCTCTGTCCTGTGCCCAGCCTGGGTTCCCTGCTCTGGGCCTCATGGTCTGAGTGCTCAGAGCATCACTGAACCTTGCTCCCGGGCATTTTCTGCATGGACCCTCAGCTGTCTCTCTCTCCCTCTGTCTCTGTCTCTGTCTGTCTCTCCCTCTCCGTGTCTCTCCCTCTCACTGTCTGTCTGTCTGTGTCTCTGGCCGTGAGAGACTCTGTCCTGACATGCTGACACGTTCTTGCTGGGGAAGCGGCTGCTGACCCTTGGGGTGCGTCCTGCTGTCCACCACCGGCTGCCCGGGCTCTGTCTGTGAGGCGGAGAAGCTGCCGCCCGCCCGGCCACACTTTGTCGTGCCGACCCCCATGCCCACCCCTGTGCCATCTCCCTTTCGTGCCACCCAGGGCTGTGAGGGGCAGCTGAAGTGGCTCCGATTTGCATTTCCCTTATGACTAAGGACGCCGGGCGGCTTTTCATGAACTCTGGGCCGGGCTCCTTTGAGGAACCGTCTTCTCCCTTCTCGGTCCCGTTCATGGTGGGGGGTGGGGGCTGGGACCCCGAGCAGATCCCGGCTGGCCAGTCCAGCGGGCATTTCGGTGCCAAGGCCGGGGAGGGCACTGCCAGGCTCTGAGCTGCCAGGTCTGTCCGGGCCCCGGGCGGTGTCTCCAGCAACACTCGGGGGCCCAGCTGCCGAGTTGGGGGTCCCACAGGGGCCTGGCTCTGCTCTGGCTCTTTGGACCCGAGTGAAGTGGGGTTGTTCCACTGTGTTCTCTCTCCCGTTCTTTTTATTTTTTTCTTTGTTTTTTATTTTTTTTTTTTTTGCTTTTTGGGTCACACCCGGCGATGCTCAGGGGTCACTCCTGGCTTATGCACTCAGGAATTCCTCCTGGCGGTGCTCAGGGGACCCTATGGGATGCTGGGGATCGAACCCGGGTCGGCTGCGTGCAAGGCAAACGCCCTCCCCGCTGTGCTATCGCTCCAGGCTCCTCTCCCTCCCGTCCCTGCACGTGCTCCGTTTTCCGTCGCCACCTGCACGTGACCCCAAAGAAGTGTCCGCGTCCCGCCAGGATCCAAGACCCCCAACACGCAGACCCCGCGGAGGAAACGGGCCTGCTCCCCGGTCAGCAGGCAGCACGCACGGCCCGCGGGACAGTGGTCTCTGTGTCCCTCCCGCCTGCGCCCTGGACGCTGCCCAGCGTCTCACCTCTGTCCTTGCGCCCAGCCCCGGAGGGAAGGAGCCCCTCCCTAGCGGAAGACGCCTTCTGGGCCCCGGCCAGCCCCGTCACAAGACTGGACGGCCCTGCCGGGACACCGGCGAGTCAGTGGCTTCCCGAGCCAGGGAGCGGCCGCGGCTTATGTTCTGCGTGTCCTTGAGCCAAACAGATGGTCGGGGATAAACAGGGTGGCACTGGGGCGCGGCCGGCCGCCTCGCAGGCCTCGCCGGCCCAGGTGGGCGCCGTGCTCGGACCCCCACGGAGAGGGAGAGGCGCTGCAGCTGGCCGGGGGTGGGCCCCCCGCGGCCCCAGAGCACGCTGACCCCGAGCCGGCCTTGACGTGTCGCACTGGCTGCCAGGCTGGACGCGGGTGGGGGAGGGTGTGGTCAGCCGCGGGGGCTCCCCCGGCCCTCTGCCAGCGGAGCAGGGGTGAGGCGGGGAAAGGGCGTCCCCGCACGCCCAGCGAGCAGCTTCCAGTGCACTTAGCCAAGGGGCGTCGGCCTGGGTCCGAGACTGGCAAAGGCCCCGGGGCAGGCGCCAGGAGCTTCTCACGGGCATCCGGGGACTCGCAGGACAGCCCCTGTGGAAGTGCCAACCCCACACCGCACGGCCAGTTAGAACTGCCCGGAGCCGGGAGCCGGGCATGGTGCTGGCCTGGCGGATGCAGCTGCCCTGTGAGAGAGCTCGTGGACCCGGGCCCGGGCAAGACCTCCGGGTTGGGGGTGGTAGTGGACACGGGGCCTGGGGGAGCTCTCCTGGCGGGGGGGTGTGCCGAGAAGGCGGCTGGTGTCGGCGCTGTGCCCTCGAATCAGTGGCCTCGCTTGCAATCCAGTCCCTTCCTGTGTGAGCTGTGTGACCTCAGGCAAGTCACTGCCCCTCTCTGTGCTCTCACGGGGACGGCGAGGCTGGGGGAGCTCTGGGGACGGCGGCACCGCGTGCTGTTGGCCGTAATACTAGCATCAGCGTCTGGGTCACTGCTCTTGGCAGCCGGGCTGTGGAAGCCGCCCCCTCGGCTGGGACACCAGACAGGGCCACCCCGGTCCCCAGCAGGCCGGCGCAGGGTTCCGGGAAGCTGCGTGACCTTGGGTCAGTCACCTCCTGCGCTGAGCAACTCTCCCCGCTGCCCAGGCGGGTTGCTACCCAGCCTCTGGGTTGCTGGGCCGGTTGGGAGCGGTGACCAGCGGGGAACCTCCAGCTCCCGCTCACTGGGCCTGTCCCAGACGCAGCCTGAGCCCAGCCCCCCGCAGCCCCCCCCCCCCCCCCCAGCGGGCGCTGCCAGACGGGCTCTGGGGGCCGAGAGCGCTCCTGGCCGTGCCAAGCTTCCCCGGGGATCAGGTTTCTGCTGACGCGGTGCCAGGCACGTCTGCTTCCAGGAACCGGCAGCCGCATTTAGCCCCGGGCCGCACATGAAAGGCACAGTCGGAAACGTGACGTTGTGTCAACAGGCAGGAGGGTCAGGCCCGGGTGAGACCGTCCCTGCGGGCGGCCCGGCCCAGGCGGCCAGGCCAGCCCCGGCCTCCCGGCCAAAGGCTGGAGCTGGAGCAAGGCCCTGCTGGGGCGACACCCCCTCCCCCCGCCCCAAGGGCTGCAGGGGAGGTCAAGGGTGCAGGCCGGAGGGCAGGAGGGCAGCTGCCTCAGGGTCCGGTGGCCCCCCCCCCCACGGACACGGACGGGGGTCTGGGTGGGCAGGGCGGCCATTATGGGCTTTTCTTAGTTCAGGTTGCTCCGAGCACTTCCTCCGGAGGCCGAGGGAAGAAAGTCAGAAAGTCGGACTGCAGGACGCTGTGCCAAGTTGATGATGGATCGCCAGCCTGGAGACGCGGCTCCGTGAGAAGCCCCGGGCCGAGGGGACAGCAGCTGCCCAGCTGGAATAGGGCGCAGCCAGGAACAGGGGTGCAGGCGGCCTCAGAGCCAGACACAGGCAGAGAGATGAGAGCCCGCCTCACACTCTGAAGCGTGTGGTTATGAGTTGAAATCCCTGGTGACTCATATATGCCAAGTGCCGTTCTCACAGTCTGGGATCTCTGGCACCATAGCCGGGGGCAGGGGGGGGTGGGAAGAGAGAGAGAGAGAGAGAGAGAGAGAGAGAGAGAGAGAGAGAGAGATGGAAGAGAGACAGAGAGACAGAGACAGAGACAGAGAGACAGACAGAGACAGAGAGAAAACAAGGGGCAGTGGGACAGGCCATCATGGGTGGCCTCCTCCCAGCACACCCAGCTGTCCGGGACGCCACATGCCCTGAGACCTGCATCCTGTACCTCACACCCACACCCACACACCACACGCACATGCCTCACAACACCTCACACGCTCCTCAGACACACCTCATACGTGCCCCACGCGACTCTCACACTCCCCACGTGCCCCACATCTACATACAGGCCACGCCCCACTTCACACACATGCTTCACAGATGCCTCACACACGCCTCGCACACATCACACACACATGCCTCAGAGATGCCTCATATACTTGACACATGCCTCACGCGTATCACAGATGCCCCATGCACATACCTCACACACAGCCTTCACAGGCACACACACACACACACACACACACTTCATACGTGCCTCTCTTTCTCACACACGCACACACGCACACACACACACGCACACACACACACTTCATACGTGCCTTTCTCACACACGCACACACGCACACACACACGCACACACACACACTTCATACGTGCCTCTCTCACACATGCACACACGCACACATGCACACATGCACACACGCACACACACGCACACACACACACACACACACACACTTCATATGTGCCTCTCTTTCTCACACACGCACACATGCACACACACACACACACACACACACACACACACACACACACACACACACTCTTCCCTTCTCGGAGCCGGAGGGCGACGACTGCAGCTCCCCTGGGCCTGCCCGCAGGGAGGCGGCCTGGTGCCGTTTCCCAGGAGGGTGCAGGAGCAGAGACCCCACAGGTCATTCCCACTCCTTTTCCCATGGAATTTTCCCTTTCCCCTCCGAGGTCTCGGCTGAAGAACACCCATATTCACTCAGGCACACGCCCAGCCAGAGGAAGTCCAGGAAGGATGTCGGAAAGAATTATGGAATGTTGCCCTCGGCAGCGAGACAGGATATGGCCAATCCATTAGCCTCCGGAGCAGGGAGAAGTTTGACCGCCGAGGTGCTAGCCCCACGTCCATTATTCCTGCCTGGAGATCCGTTAGCCCTCCCTCCGTGGCACACCCCGCCCACGGGTGCCCAGACACCCAAGGCCACCTTGGGACGGTCAAGGACCCGGACGGGGGCTGACACGGAGGTGGGGGGGCAACCCACTTTCTGCTGCACTCTGGAAAGAGGCAGAGAATGACTGTCTCTGGTGAGGGATAGTTAAAAAAAAATCAAGCAAATATTTACCTGCTAAATCGACTAACCTTACTCTGTCTAAGCGAATGTCAATACAAAGCATGTGAAACGTCGAACGAAACTCCCTCCGCGTTAACCTGTTCCTGCCCCCAGCCCTGGCCGGCCCGCTGTGCAGGGGACCATGATTTACAGACAGGAGACCTCCGTTCTCTTCCACAGGAAAAGGATTATTTTATTAAGTATTTTTAAACAACTACTTAACATTGACTCATAGATAAAAATATTTACAATTTCACACCTTCAGGAAGGTTCCAAAATATAAACACTGTACCTCTCCCGAGAGAAAAAAAAATTCTTCTCTTCAAAAAACAGGAATACATTCGTTTTTTTTCCCTCACTTGGTAGATCAAGTAATTATACAAATAAACATCTGAAACATTTCCCTCTCTGATATATTTATATAATATATATTTATTAACAGTTTTACAAATAAAGGCGACTTTATACCAAAATAAACACGGGGAAGAACAAAGTTAAAAACACGGTCGGCCATCAAGCATAGTGCATTGTGAAAAGCTGGTGCAGGGGCAAAGGGGGAGGATTCTGCTTTCGAAGGGAAGGATGCGGGGTCGGGGGCGACAAGGCGGCCGGGATCAGCCGGGCCCCGGGCGGGGCCCCGGGCCCCCACGATGCCAAGCTAGGGTACCAGGGGTCCGAGGCAACAGCTCAGACCTCAGCTAGAGCCTGGGAGCTGGGCACCCCGCACAGCCCATGGCGACGCCCCACCGGGTGCCAGGCGCCGGGGGCGAGGGGCTGTCTCGGGAAGCAGTGCTCGGGGGCCTGAGTAAGGGACTACATTCTCTGCGCTCGTCTGCGGCGGGCCTGGGAAATCTCCCCGAACCACCGCAGTGCGGGGCCGGGCACGGCACCCCTGCGGGCGGCAGGGGCAGGGAGTGGGCAGCTGGGCGCTGCCTGGCTGAGTGAGTCACGGCCACCCGGAGGGCGGGGCTGGCCGGGAAGGCTTCCTCTGAAAGCACCTTCCGCCCAGCCTCAGGCCCGGCTCCGAGGCGAGGCCTGAGCCGGCCCAGGCGGCCGACAGCTCTGCAGTGCCCAGGCGGGGGGCGGTGAGCCGGCCTGGCCCAGGGTGGGGACAGGCCCGAAGGTCCACGCCCACCCGCAGGCTGCCGTCCCCGGTCCCCCCTTCCTCCCCACCCAGCAGCCGTCCTGCCCTCTGCCGCAGGACCCAAGCCGCGTGCAAGCCCGCCTCCCCGCCCCCCACGCGCGTCCTGTTCGCGGCTGGACGTCGGGAGGCAGGAGGCCCGGGCAGCGGGACCCCCCGAGAGTTCAGTCTTTGGTTTCCAAGCTTAAGGGGGGGATCTGCTTCAGGGCCTGGAGCAGGGCGGAGGAGTCGAGGGCCGGGTGGGCCGGCAGGGGCGAGGGGAGTCTCTGGGGCACCAGCAGGGGCGCCGAGACCTTGTCGGCGCCCATGAAGCTGCTGAGTGCGGCGGCGGACGCGTTGAGGCCGGGGTAGAGCAGGGGCACCGACGTGGGGTACCAGCACTTCTCCAGCATGGGCAGGTAGGCGGTGGCCGAGGGGGGGATGAGATAGAAGGGCAGGCAGAAGGGGGGCTGGTGCGGGTGGGGGCCCAGGAAGGGGGCGCCCAGCAGGTCGCCCCCGGCGAAGCGGCCCTCTTCGTCGGCACGCTGCACGCGGCTCCTTTTGGCGGGGGGCTCCTCGGACTCCTGCTTGATGGCCCCGAAGCGCTCGCCCGCTGGGGGCCTGCGGCCGGCGTCGGCCCTGAAGCAGGGCGGCTCCCCCTTCTCGCACTCGCCCCCGTAGCCGCTATCCGTGTCCGTGTCGCTGCCGCTCTGCTCCCCGCCCGACGGCGCACAAGTCCGCTGGATGACGGGCACGCAGTTCTTGCCGGGGCCCTGGGCGGCCCGGGCCAGGGGGCTGGCCTTCTCCTTGAAGTCCAGGCCTTTGGGCGCGGCCTCGGCCAGCTTCCGGGAGGGGCTGCCCTGCAGGAGCTCGGACACGGCGCGGTGCAGGTGGGTGACCAGCTGCGAGGACTTCAGGTCCCGGGCGTTCTCGTGCTTGGCCAGGTACTGCAGCACTTCCCGGGCGCACGTCTGGAACCCTGAGCAGAACATCTCCTGACCTGCGTCGATGCTCCTCCCAGACAGCTCCCCTGCGGAATCAGAGATGCAGAGCGGGCGTGTGAGAAATCGCAGGAGCTGTGCCCGCCGGCCCGCCCAGTGCTCAGAGCAGGACACCGGGATCACGCTGAAAACGGAGGGACCGAAGCCACCGCCCTGCCACCTGGGCATAAACGAGATGCGGGACGGCGCCCACAGCCCAGCCGGGCCCCACTCAGCAGCAGACACTTTCTCCCCGAACTGCATGTATCGGCTGTCCGGGAGTTTTTATGATACGCGACACAGCCAGGAGCAGTCCCGTATGTCTGAAACGACAGCTGATTTCTGGAATATTCCTCTAAGCATAGCAAGACCAAGTAGTCGTTAAGTGAGCTCAGGAATGAAGAAGGGGTCTCCCCCAAAGAAGATACTTTCAGTAACTTCTACCCCGTGTGGCCTTGGTGCAATTCTGGCTGTTCTGTGGCCATAGCGGTTCCCAGGGATCATTCAGGGGGACCCCAGGCGGGGCAGGGGATGAGCCCAGGTCAGCTGCACAGAAGAACAGTGCCTTTACCGTGACTTCCCCAGCTCCTTTTTAAAGCATTTTTGAAACGCTAAAGGGATTGGCACACCCAGTGGAGCTCAGGGCTTACAGGGGACCCTGGCAGGCAGCACAGAGCTGGGATCAACCGCTGGCACGCAGAGCAGAAGCCCCAGCCAGGGGGCCAGGTGGGGACTCCGCGGGAGGATCGACAAGCAGGCCACGGGGACGCTGTTCCCAGGGGCGCTATCTACGACCCCCACCTCAAATGTGGCCTCATGCCCTGTATCTTCCCGAGGAGGCGGCAGAAACGTGTGCTGGGTTTCTGGCGGTTCCCGTGGTACTAGTCTCGGGAAGGAGGGCAGAGAGAATGGAATGAGGGACGGGGGGGCCGGAGGGGCCGAGCTTTCCGTGCCGGGGAGTTTACGTGGGAAGGGGGGAGCAGAGGTCACATGGAGACCATGGTTCTCTGGAAGTCAGAGGAGAGCATGATGAAACTCCGATGGTTTCGTTAGATTGTGCAATTCACAGAGATACCTAGTGGCTATTCAGGGAACCACATGAAATGCAGAAAAAACTCCTGCTGTCAGCCTGCCAGGGTCATACCACACACAGAGCGATAAGGAAGCAGAGAAACAGGAAAACACTGGGGCAGACCCGTGATTTATTCGCCAATGAAAGAGGCTAAGACGACCGACTGTAAAACACCCACAATGCAAATTATAGGTGCCCTGGCATTTTAAATCGCGGTGGGGGGCGGGGGGTGCGGGGCTTGGGAAGACTCTCCCTGAACCCAGAGCTCTGGAGCCAAATGCCAGGGGACTATTTTATCATGCAGCGGAAACATTTCCAGGCCAGGTGGCCCCCAACAGCCTTCCACACGAGAGATCTGACCTTTTAGGAAGGATAAGTTGGAAGCTCCCCCCAAGGAGGGTGCAGAGGAATTTGTTGCAGGAACCAGAGGCTGGGTCCCCGGGTGCCCAGGGTGGGACTCGGGAGGGACCCGGCACTCACCGGTCTGCAGGTCACTCTGCAGGGCGATGATTCTCTGCTGCTGCTGGTCAATGAGGTTGGTCAGCGCCTTCACATGCTTCAAGGTGAGCTCGAGAACCACGGCCTTCTCCAAGTGGCCCAGGGTCTGCGATCAGGAGAGGCGGCCTGAGTGCCGAGTTCAGGAAAGTCCCACCCTCTACGCGGGAGCAACCGCTCCAGACAGGGAAGAAGCGTGTCTGGCTGGGAGGCAGGAGGGCCCGACGCTGAGAAGCGCGCACGGGGCTACACAACGGAGCGGAAAGAATGAAAAACGGGCGGCGGCGGCGCTCAGCCACCTCAGCTACCTCCGAGGGAGCCCTGGCAGCCGCGCTGACCTTAGCTCGGGGAAGCCGGGCTGACATTTCTCTGCAGTGGAGTCAGTCCCAGCAGGGACTTCTGCGCCTGGCAGCCAAGAGGCTTCCCTCCTCCTCCCCGACCGACGCCCGGGCCCAACCTCCAGCTCACGCCAGGGCCCAACTTCCAGCTCACCCAGCTTTGCTTTTTTTGCTTTTTTTCCCTCCTCTCCTGGAATACTAATCTTCCCCCTCACCCCTTTCACTTTCCCCCTCCCAACTCTGCCAAGCCAGTAACCTGGCCACTGCCAAGAAAGGCATTCTAAAGGACACACCAAAACTAGTTATTGAAAAAGGGGGGGGGGTCTGAGCAGGAATTAGAGAAACCCAACTTGTGCCTGGGTTTGCCCAAGTCAGGAAAAATACGAGGGTCCCCCAAATCGGCAGAAGGGAAAGTGTGAGGCCGCGGCCCAGGCGGCCAGCTGGTGCGGGGGGTGGGGGGGCGCCACGCAGGAGGCCCGGGGTGGGGGTGGGGGTGGAAAACCCCCGCCGTGGGGAGGGGGCGACCTCGCGCCCCCGACCACCGCGGTCCTGCCCTCGCCTTGCAGTTCCCCGCGGGGCCTGCAGGCGGCGGTGGCCGCGGGCCGCGGGGCGGGTGGGCAGCGGCGCTGGCCGGGCCGCGCTCACTTACTGTAAGTTTGAGGTGTTCGGGCAGGAGGTCCTTGAGCTGCGCGATGCACTCGTTGATGCGGTCGCGCCTCTTCTTCTCGATGAGCCGGTGCGGCAGCTTGTAGGTCTCCTGCGCGCGCGGGGCGAGGCGTGAGCGGCCGGGTCCGCGGGGGCCTTTCTCCCCACGCCGCGCGCGCGAGTGCGCGAGTGGTCACACCCAGGTCCCCCGCTGCTGCCCTTCCTCCAGCCCTGCACGCAGCCCGCACCGGGCGACCCCCCGCCGGCCTCCGAGTCGGAAAACTTTTCCCAGCGACCGGGCGCGCGAGGATCCGGGGGGCGCGGGGGTTCCCGGGGCGCGCGAGGGTTCCCGGGGCGCGCGGGGTTCCCGGGGCGCGCGGGGGCCCGGGGGGCGCGGGGGTCCCGGAGCGCGCGGGGATCCGGGAGGCGCGGGGGTCCGGGGGTCCCGGGGCGCGCGGGGGTTCCCGGGGCGCGCGGGGTTCCCGGGGCGCGCGGGGGCCCGGGGGGCGCGGGGGTCCCGGAGCGCGCGGGGATCCGGGAGGCGCGGGGGTCCGGGGGTCCCGGGGGGCGCGGGGGTCCCGGGGCGCGCGGGGGTTCCCGGGGCGCGCGGGGTCCCGGGGGGCGCGGGGAGTCCCGGAGCGCGCGGGGATCCGGGAGGCGCGGGGGTCCCGGGGGGCGCGGGGGTCCCGGGGCGCGCGGGGGTCCGGGGGGCGCGGCGCCTACCTTGCTGTCGTCGCCGCGCTTGATGCCGCGTCGCGACTTGTACACCTGGTACATGTGGGCGAAATCCATCCTGCGGGGAGAGGGGCCGGGCGGTGACTCGGCGGCCGCGGGCCGCGGACCCCCGAGCAGCGGGGACCCCCGCGGGCGGGCGCGCGCGCCGACTCACCCGGGCAGGTCTCCGGGCTCGGGGCCGGCGGGGGGCGGCTGCGCGCCGGGGATCCGCTCCATGGCGCGGGGCTGCGGGGGTCCTCGGCGGGCGGCGGGCGGCGGCGACGGGCGGGCGGCGGGCGGGCGGGGGTCGGCGCGGCTCAGCGGGGGGCGCGCATGCCGTCCCCGCCGCCGGCTGCGCTCCGTGTGCGCCCCGCGCCGAGTGCGCCGGGAGCCGAGTGAATGGGGCGCGGGGCGGGCCGGAGGCGGCGCGCGGGGCGGGCGCGCGGGGCGGGCGGGCGGGCGGGCGGGGGGCGCGGGCCCCGGGGCGCCGCGGGCCGGGCTAAATGCGCGCGAGGGGGCGGGTGGGAGCGACGTGTTCCACCCTGTGACTCCAGGCACGTCTGGCCGCGGCCGCGGAGGGAAGGCGCGGCCCGCGCGCCCGCCCCGGCTCCATCACATGAGCCTCACGTGTCGGCCCGGCCCGCGGCGCGCGGGGGCCCCAGGTGCCGGCGCGGGGGGCGCGCGGAAGCCGCGGGGGGCGGGGCGCGGGGCGGGGGCCGGGCCGGCCGGGGGCGAACCTGCCCCGGGGAAGTGAAGCAAGTTCCCGTCTCCCGGGAGGCCCGGGGGAGGCGGCTCCGCCCGCGGCTGACTCAGGCCGGGAGAGGAATATCCCTCGCGCCCGGCCCCTTCCTGCGCCCCCGCGCGCGCCCTCCCCCGGGGCCGCCCCCCGCGCCGGCCCAGGGGCGGGGCGGATGTCACCCCATGGGAAGCGGGCGGCCGGCCAGCGCCGGGGCAGCCGAGGCCGCGGGCGAGCACGCCGCGCGCACCTGACCCCGCGCCGCGCGTTACGCAACGCGGGCGCGGCCGGCGGACGCCCCCCGGGGCGGCCCCGGGGCGCCCCGCGCGCCCCCGGCCCGGGCCGCGCGCCGTGCGCGCCCGATCGCGCCCAGACCGCGCCGGGCCGGGGCGGGCGCAGCGGAGGGGAGGGGGCTTCCTGGGGGCGCGGGGCTGCGTCTCCGCGCGCGCCCCGCCCCCCTCCGCGCCGGTGACCTTCCAGCCCCGCGGGAGCGGGGACGCGGCCGCGCCCGGGGCGGGGGCGGGGCGCGCGGGGCCCGCGGGGACGCGTGACTCAGGCGGGCCGGCCGGGGATTTCAGTGACCTCGGCGCGGCCCCGCCGGCCCGCGCTGGGGACTGGCCCCTGCTTTCCCACGCGGGGGGCGCGCGGCTGCGCGTGGCCCGACGGGCCCCGCACAGACCCCACCCGCGGGCCGCGCGCCGGGGGGCCGGGCTGGCCCTCGCCGGGGGCCCCGCGCGCCTCCCCGCCCCCGCGCGCACCTGGGCGCGCACCGCGGCGGCTGGCGCGGGGCCCGGGGGACGGCACCGGCCTGGGCGCGACCCTGCCCGGGCGGTGGCTGTCCCGGAGCCAGGAGTGGGGACGAGCAGGAGCCCGCGCGGACGGACGCCGGCCAGCAGCCGGCCTCCGAGGCCGCTGTGACGGGGCCCGCGCCTTCCTGTCCTCGCCGAGGGCCGCCGGACACGGCGGAGGCCGCGTGCCCTGTCCCCTCCGTTTTCCCTCGTCCCGGGCCGCGTCCGCCCTCCCCAGAGCTCGTCTCCCTCCTGGCCTCGCAGTCAGTCCGCCGGTTGGCGCGAAAGGGCCCCGGCCAGCGCGCACGTGCCCGTCCCCACGACTCCTGGTCACCTGTCCGGTCCCCGACGCTGGCTGCGGGCGCCGGTCAGGTTACGTAAAAGCGCGCGCCTCGCCAGCTCCCCGGGCAGATGGGTTTCCCGAGCGCGTGGACGGGAGTCCTCGAGCGCCGGGCACTGGGCAGGCCCAGGCTCCTGGCGGGAGGGCCTGGCCGCCCAGCAGGGCTCGGGCTGGAGACCACCCGCCCCCGTTCTGGAGACTGCGGGGGTCCTCGGTCTGCCTCTGCAGCCGGACAGGGTGGGTGGTTGGCGGTCTCCTGCTGTATTCGGGACTCTGCGTGGCCCCGGACGGACAGCTGCCCGGGACCGGAGTGTCCCCCGTGCACGGCTCCTCTCCAGGGGGGCATTTCTTACTGCGCCGAGCGTGACAGCGCCCCCTAGAGTTGTGCCAGAGAACACCAGGAGTCCGTGCTGTGTCGTCTCACGTGTTGCTGCCGCGGGGAGGAACGGAGGAGGGTCGGAGGGAAGGAAGGACAGACCCCGCAAGGAACCCCGATCTACAGCTTGAGGACCGTGCCTCCGTTCGGGCTTGTCCCCACAAGGAGGAAACCAAAGGCCTCTCCACGCGTGAAGCTCTTCCAGATCACTTGTTGGAAAGGAGACGTGGGGTGTCTGCACCCAGCGCCGCCTCCGAGACGTTCAGCCCTGGGAATGCAATGGGGTTTGCCAGCCCCTGTGATATTTTATGCTGGCATTTCCTTCTCCAGCGGAGGAAGTTCCCTTCTGTCGTTAACGTAATGAGGTTTATCGTGGAAGGAGATTGCATTTGGCAAAAGCGTTTCCTTAATCCGCCGGGGCCGTTCGATGGCTCTCATCCTGTTAATCGCATGAATCACATTTTTGGTGTTAAACCAACCTTGAATTCCTGAGATAAGCCTCTCTGATATCACCCCTGTGTTTATTGCTAGCTGAGATTTGCACACATTTGTTGAGGATTTCTCATGTCTGGGATGGTGAAGGGTTTATGTCTGTAGCCCTTCATGTGCGTTCGGTGGATTTTGGGATCAGAGCAATGCAGGCCTCATAAAACAGATTGGGAAATACCTCTTCCCATCTCTGGAAGACCTTGCCTAGAATTTTTCTTCCTTACAGAGTGTGGGAAGTTGCCTGGGCTTGGAATTTTCTCTGGAGGAAGGCCTTTTGTTTTTTTTATGAATAATTTTTCTTTAGTTGATACTTAAAAATTCTGCATTAAGTTTTTAATTTGTTCAGTTTTGTTTTTTAATAAATGTATCAATTGGCTGGAGCGATAGCACAACGGTAGGGTGTTTGTCTTGGCGCGCAGTCAGCTTGGCCGAGCCGGGTTCGATTCCTCCTCCCCTCTCAGAGAGCCCGGCTAGCTATGGAGAGTATCTCACCCGCGTGGCAAAGCCTGGCAAGCTCCCCGTGACGTATTCGATATGCCAAACACAGTGACAACAAGTCTCAAAATGGAGACGTTACTGGGCCCGCTCGAGCAAATCGATGAACAGTGGGAGGACAGTGACAGTGACAGTATCAATCGCCCTTAAGTCGTCAATATCTTCGTATGAGGTTTTCATCCTCGTCATGTTGATATGTTCTGCCGTGACGGTCGCGGCTGCTCTGGGAAGAAGCTTGCTCAGGAGCTGGGTGGCTGTGTTTCGCCTCACTGACAACACGGCGTGGCCCCTGGTTCCCTCAGAACTGTGGGTGCAGCATTGAACCCTGAATCCACTTGACCGACACCCACAGAAGTGGCCTCTGGGGTCCCTGAACACTGTTCGGGGGAGCCCCCTGCCAACAGAATGAAACCTTTGAATTCCTCCTTCTCCTCCCCCCTCCCTCTCCTCCCCCCCCTCCCTTCCTCCTTTCCTCCCCAGCTCCCTCCTCCTCCTCCTCTCTCCCTCCCTTTCTTCCTCAGGGCCTGACACAAGCAGGGCTAACACTCTGCTGCTGAGCCATACTCTCATCCCCAAGTAAAATTTGTTGATTGGTATTCCCCCCCCCCATCAGCTTGCTAAGGGACTTATCTGTTTTATTAATCTCCACAAAGATCCACACTTTATTATTATTATTATTTTGGGGTCACATCTGGTGATGCTCAGGGGTCACTCCTGGCTCTGCACGCAGGAATTACTCCTGGTGGTGCTCGGGGGACCCTATGGGATGCTGGGAATCGAACCCGGGTCGTCCGCGTGCAAGGCAAACACCCTGCCCGCTGTGCTGTCGCGCCAACCCCAGATCCACACTTTAATTGGTCACTGTTCCCTATCGTTCATTCGCCTTATATTTTATCAGTTTTCTCTCTTAGTTTCCTTGACTCCTTCTGCTTGCTTTGGATTTAATCTGGTGTGCCTTTTCTGGTTTCTTGTGATGCAAGATAATAACATTGATGGCAAATCTTTCTTGTAATTTATTTATTTATTTTTTGGTGAGATCGGGCGCGTTCAGGGTGGTATGGGCTGGAGCGATAGCACAGTGGTAGGGCGTTCGCCTTGCACGCAGCCAACATGGCCGACCCGAGTTCGATTCCTCCGCCCCTCTCGGAGAGCCCGGCAAGCTACCAAGAGTATTCGATATGCCAGACACAGTAACAACAAAGTCTCCAATGGAGACGTTACTGGGCCCGCTCGAGCAAATCGACGATCAACGGGAGGGCCTTTACCTTTACCTTTACCTTTTTGGTGAGAACTGCCTTTCACGATCTTCTACAATATTTGGTGTGTATGTTTTCCTGATTATTCGGGTTGATTAGCCTCAGTGATTTTACTTGGACTTGTGGGCCCTTTGGAACAGTGTTGTTTTGTTACAAATATTTGTGAAATTTTCAATAACACTTTTTTTCCCATTGGGAATAGATAGCCACCTGAAATTCCAGGGTGGTCCAGAGGAGTGCTCGTCCTCCTTCACCAGAGAAGCTCCTGTCTCCTTCAGCCCTGCTCCTCTGAGGAGAAAGTCTTCCATGGCTAAAATGCAGGGTTAAAACCAGAAGCTAGGGGCTGGAGTGATAGCGCAGTGGGTAAGGCATTTGCCTGCATGCAGCCAACCCGTGTTCGATTCCCAGCATCCCATATGGTCCCCCGAGCACCGCCAGGAGTAATTCCTGAGTGCAGAGCCAGGAGTAACCCCTGAGCATCGCTGGGTGTGACCCAAAAAAGCAAAAAAAAAAAAAAAAAACCAAGAAAAACCAGAAGCTATCTGTGGCCCAATGCAGACTTTTCTGATCTCACCAGTTTCATACGTGTTCACAGGTGTGTGTGTGTGTGTGTGTGTCTGTGTCTGTGTGTGTGTCTGTGTGTGGTTCGATGCAGTTCACCATACGGATAGATTCGAGAAGCCACTGCCACGGCCAGAATGCTCATCGGCCACTTGTCACTTCCTGCTGCTTCCTGTCCTGGTGATGTCCACCCCCTGCCGTGCCCGGTATCCCCACCTCTGCATCCTCCTTTTAAGAACGCGGCGAATGATGTAGCAGATCCCCTCGGAGCGTGGCCGTTGTGTTCACTCAGGAGAGTCTCTTGATGTCCACCCAAATCACTGAGTGTGTCAGTAGCGCTTCTTTCCACGCGGCTCAGTTGGAGTCTGACGGTGAGTTGGTTGGCAGTACTGTTTCACGTCTC